AGGCCCAGGTATAGACAGATGTGAGGGTCAGGCCCAGGTATAGACAGGTGTGAGGGTCAGGCCCAGGTATAGACAGGTGTGAGGGTCAGGCCCAGGTATAGACAGGTGTGAGGGTCAGGCCCAGGTATAGACAGATGTGAGGGTCAGGCCCAGGTATAGACAGATGCGAGGGTCAGGTCCAGATTTAAGGATACAGCTCCCCAACCCTGAGTCCCTCTTGGAAGTGAAATCCTTCTAAAAGAAAAAAAATAGGTCTGTGCAATTTGTCTTTCCAGACTTCTGTTGCTAACACAGACATCCCAAAGGGACGTCCGGAATGAAACCCTGGGAGACAGTGGGCCTTCTGAGTCTTTTGGACCCTAAGGATTTATTTGAAATATCTTTATTGTTCTTTAACTCTTAGGATTTCGTGTGACAGGGTTTTAGGTGTTGCCCTAATGGAATACTTTCTGCCCAGTAAGTGGCAGTGGCTAGCTGTAAGATTTCAATATTCAGAGAGACAGTGTCCGTGACCTCAGATGGGGACTCCCTCTGCGAAGCCCCATATGAAGTCTGTTGATTCGTTGCTGTTGTTTCTTGGTGTGTTGTGTTTTGTTTGAAACAAGGTCTCCTTGTATAGCCCAGGCTGGCCTCAAACCACTCACAGGCCTTCTGCCTTCGCCTCCCTAGTGCTGAGATTACGAGCATGCCCTGCCACACCCAGCCAGGCAGTGGTCTTTGCTGAAGAGTCTTAGGTAGCCACTCTTAGTCCTTAATACTCATTGTGTTCTGTTAGCTATCAGTTTCTTAACAAACAGTGAACTCCATAAGAGTAATGTTGGGATCAATTGGAGTCCTGGCCTTCAGCTGCTCTTCCCTGCTAGAGCCTTCTAATTGAAGTTACTAAAAGCTGTGCTTTGCCTAGAGGATCAGAGGATGGGATTTTCACCTGTTGGCCATTGACTGCAGGGTATTTAAGCCTCCATGGTGCTATTAAGAAGGGCCTTTGTACCAGTGATTGGAGGTCCGTGTGTTGGTCTGTCTCTGCGTGTGTTTCCTCAACCTCCAGCCCCTTGCCCAAAGCTCGCGATCTGGATTCTAGCGCATAGAACACAGAGGGGGCTGCGCGGTGCACGGCAGAGTAATAGTTCTGTCTTCCTCAATCTCCACTGCTTTCCCCTGTATTAAAGTAAGAAGTATCAATAAATATTTTCGATGGACTAGTGCAGGGCTAATGAGAAGCCTAGCTTCTAATACCAGGTCTCCTGCCACGTGGTGGAGGACGGGGAGCTGTTCTACTGGGTTTGCTGTCGGAGAAATGAATTGTACTTCCCAGCATCTCCCAGCCTCTCCTTCTACTCATGAGTACCTTTCAGGTGAATAGAATTGATTTCGAAATGCCTTCTGCCTCTGAATTTCAGTCGCTGTTTTCTCTACATGATGCTAATACATTTTCTTTCTCTATCTGGATTTCATCCTCATTCTCACTGGTAGCATCCTTGGCTGTACCATAAGATTGTATGGGATTGCAACGACTCCCTTTGTCCCTGGTATAAGAAATAGTCAGTGAGATTCACAGGGAACAAGACTCAGCGATGTGCAGTTTCCTTCATTTGCTGACGCGGTCCCTGTGATACAGCTAGTCTCAGAGCGTGAGTCAGAGGCTGTAGCTGAGCCCTGGGCAAGGGGCTGACACCTGGACAGACCCCCCAGTCCACCTCTCTGTTTGCAAACACCTCCTACAATCCGCTTCTACTCTCTCACCTCCCAGCTAATGGGAGTTCCATACCCAGGGAATTTGTTATCCTGGGTTCGCCCCTCTAATGTGGAAACACACAGTGGATGTGTTCCTTAATAATTCTCTGGTAGAATGTGCTGGAACACCTAGATTAGTAGTGGTCAAGTTTCAGCTGATGCCTTTGGTGACATGTTTCTTTAAAATGAGTAGGGTGTAATATGTCGGAAATGGTTCTATCTCGATTGAGAAATTGTGCATTGTAACAGTTGAGCAGGCTCCTACGTCACTACAGTGCTGTGTGCCCGCTTCACAACCCCCGGGGCAGACCAGTTAGTATCTCAACCTGTGGCCTCCTCTGTAAAATACAGGGATTATGATAAAATGGCAAAAATATCTTTTACTTTTTGCCCTAAACTGGCTTATGGTGCCACAGCTAACCCGGTAGATGCTCAGGGAACATGGAGACTGTGGAGATATCCCTATATGCCTCACTTAAGCAGTGTCTTAGCCCTTGTTCTACTGCTGTGAGACGCCATGGCCAAGGCAACCCTTAGAAAAGAAAGCCTTTCATTTGGGGCTCACAACTCTAAAGAATAGGAGAGTCCGTGACCATCGTGGCAGGAAGCAGACAGGCATGGAGCAGGAGTAGCAGCTGAGAGCTTTACATCTTGAACCACAGGCTGCAGGCAGAGTGAGCCGCTGTACCTAGCATGGGCTTTTGAAGCCTCAAAGCCCAGCCCCCAGTGACACACCCACCTCCAGCAAGGCCACGCCTCTAATCCTTCCCAAACAGCTCACCACCTAGGGGCTAACCCTGCAAACAAATGAGCCCATGGGGCCATTCTCATTCAAACCACCTCAGAGCCAGCAGCACTTCCAGACATAGTCCCCTGTTGGTCTTGTAACTTCTGTCCCTTCTCTCCTGCAGTGTGGCATTTGTAAAGGACAGCTGGGAGACACAGTGAGTGGGACAGACGTGAGGATTCGCAACGGTCTCCTAAACTGTACTGACTGCTACATGCGATCCAGAAGTGAGTATGGAGAGACTGTCTCCCCCACTCAGCCTTCTCGTGTGGGATTCAGTTATTTTCTGCCTCCAGTTGGCACTCCTACCCCTGGGCAGAGGATTGTTAGGATGGAGGCCAAAGGGATTGCGAGGCCAGGAAGCAGATGCTCCTCGCAGGGTGTTCCTGTTCGGGTGAACCAATGAGCCCTGCCCAGGAGTGTGCCAGTACACGGGCAGTACACTGTAGGTCGGGTTTGAGAGACCCGCCTGAGCTCACTGCAGGGACCCTATTGAGGCAGAAGAAGGGTTAGGGTCTGCAGCACTGTCTCTGGGTCCAGCCTGTCGGCAGAGGCCAGCAGCTGCTGGAGGTGGTGGAATGCAGACTGGCTGTCAGGGTTGGGTAGGTGAGCGCCCAATCTGCAATGGCAGAGCCCTTCAGGAGTTTCCTTACAGAATACGGTTTTGTTCTTAAGCAAACGTAAAGGTTCATTGCAAGTCAGGATAATGACACCTGCTTCTCTGGCCCTGCCCACTCCCATACCTTTGCTTACAATAAGCTTTTAAAAACTTGCTGGCTGAATTGCTGAATCAAGAAAGTGCGTGTTTTACTTGGAGCCACCAGGGGGCGATGCTGTCTAACTGTTCAGACAGTTTGAAACTGGCGGCTTGCTGGCCCAGTCCTCTTTAAATGGAGACCAGAACAACAGCTCTTTTAATGTAAATTCACCAGTTACACTGTAGAAATGGCATCCGAAATTCAAAAATATTTCTTGTGAAAGTAAGGGAAGAATTATATCACCGGCTTCTAGATTGGAGGATAAGAATAAAAAGCAAGATTAAATTGTTTTCATGTATAGATACAGATTTCATGTATAGACACAGTGCTTTAGGGAATACAGAGGAGTATGTGCTTGTTAATAAAATGAGGTGCGAGGTGGTGGTGGTGCACGCTTTTAATCCCAGCACTCAGGAGGCAGAAGCAGGTGGATCTCAGGGAGTTCAGTGCCAGCCTGGTCTATCAAGCAAGTTCCAGGACAGCCAGGGCCACACAGAGAAATCCTGTCTCGAAAGAAACCAAAAAATAAAAAACAAAATTAAAAAAATACGAGTGAGGTGAGACAGGATCCAATGCAGGTTCTTTGGGTCTGTGATAAACCTCGAAATCACACAGCTCCGGCTGGAGCTATCGTTGAATGACGGGAATGTTGACATCATTGATTACACATGACATTAGTTGTCACACTTTATGTTCAATATGAAGTTTGTAAGCAGTATTCAGTACACATCATGAATATACATGCCTCTATACACCGATGCATACACGTGTAATGTATAACAATTGTACTTTCTTTTCTCCTCTCTGCTTCTCCACCACCACCATATCCCCCGTCCCAGACAGGGTTTCTCTCTGTAATTTGGAGCCTGGCCTGGAACTCACTCTGTAGACCCGGCTGGCCTCGAACTCACAGAGATACACCTGCCTCTGCCTCCCAAGCACTAGGATTGAAGGCAAGTGTACAATTGTACTTTTTAAAACTAGGCTGCTGTGTGTTTTGTTTTTGTGTTTTAGGACGAGGACACCCTTTCCCCAGGTTTCAAAGCGATCTCCCCTCTCCTTCTCCATCAATCCCTCTTTCCCCTCAGCTTCTGTCCCAGAAGGGGGCACTGTTGGCATGAGGACTGTGGATCTGAATTTCTTTTGTAACTGAGCATGCTCTAAAGATGCCAGCAAGCCTGAACCTGCCTCTGGGTGGCAGTGACCATTTTTCATCCAGACTTCTCTGGTTGGGATGGTTTGTTGTCTGTCCTTTGAAATTAGGCTAGGAACTTGGGTTACACATGCAAATACAAAGGGCATTAGCTGTTTTTAATTCTGACTAAAGATAAGAGCCAGAGAAGTCCTGAAGCAATTTCTGTACTAAGAAGGCTATTTGAAGGTAGACTACACATGAGATAATTTTCTATTTTTGATAGATTTTTTCCCTTTTATTAGCTCATATTCATTGTACCAAATGCTGGGTTTCTTTATGCCAGTTTCATATGTGTAGATTCTGTATGTTCATCATCTTCATACATACACACACACAGAGAGAGAGAGAGAGAGAGAGAGAGAGAGAGAGAGAATATTGTGTTTTTTTAGGAGGTTAAGTGCTGAGAGGAAAACAGGGCTGCCCAGTTGTTTCTCTGCTCCTGTGTGTGCATGTGTGCCTCTGTAGACATCCAAAAGAATAAGGAAGTGAATACTACCATTCCAATAATAAATAATGCTATAATTCTGCAAGGTTAGAAAGTCTGAATTGTCCAGAAGCCTACTAAATTGGAATCAAAGTCTCTCTGATGCTGCCCCTTTCCTGTGGTTTTTTTCGGATGGGTGGAGTGGATGTTTGCACATTGAGCATGCGCTTGCATGGTGGCTGCATCTAGCTGTGTATGAGCCAGGCTTCCCTCCCCAGAGTGACTGGGCTTCACTCCCCAGAGTGACTGGGCTCTGTACAGAGGTTTCCTTAGAGCTGTGTGCAACTTAATGCCTTGTCAGCGTTGCCATGTTCTTTCTTCTGGTGGATACTCTGGTTGTTTCCAGTTTTTGAAGAGTATTTGCCAAATATTTCTGTGAGCAAACCTGGTGTTTATCCAGATGGGGATGTGACGTCATCTCCAGTGGGGAGAGCCGGAGCAGGTACAGCAGTGGATTAAAGGGTGCAAGCCCTTTCCAGTGTCAGACATCTTGCCTGATTATTGTCTAAAAACAAATGAGCCCTCCCTGCAGGGTGCAGGCAGAGGCTCCCCTTCTTCTCTGCTGATAGCAGCTCTGCAGGTAATCTTCTGTTAAAATTGTACCCCGGCACTGAAAAAAGAAAAGAAAAATAGGAAACCGGAAAGGCCACTCTGCCAGGCAGTGAGAAACTTGTATTGCTGAGATGTTGGATTACAGACATGCACTGCCATGTCTGGCTTCTGTGTGGGTACTGGAAAACCACACTCGGGTGTCTTACATACGAACCAGCTGAGGCTTCTTCCTGGCCCCAGGATGTATATTTTTAATTCTGAGTTTGAACCTCTTTCCCTGTGTTTCCTCTCCATTTGTGTTTCTTTTCCTGCACTATGGCTCTCTGTCCTTTGTCCCTCCTGTTGGGACCTGATCTGTTGAAGTGCTTTGTAAGGTAGACCTTTTCCTGCTGCCCAGTGGGCTCCCTGCTGCAGTTACTGTTTTGTTTTTGACTTTGCGATTTATGTCCATGCAAAATACTTTAATTTTAAATAAATATAGAAATTCTTTGCCTTTTAAAATTCTGGGCCTTAGGGCTGGAGAGATGGCTCAGCAGTTAAGAGCACTGACTGCTCTTCCAGAGGTCCTGAGTTCAATTCCCAGCAACCACATGGTGGCTCACAACCATCTATAATGAGATCTGGTGCCCTCTTCTGGCCTGCAGGCACACATGCAGATGGAATACTAAGAATACTGTATACATAATAAATAAATAAATCTTTAAAAAAAAATATTCTGGGCCTTATGTCCTACTCAGGGAAAGCAGCACTTTCGGTTGCAAAGGTATAAATAAAATTAGCTGGCAGTTATCCTAAAGTCTCCTTCAGTTTGTACATGTGTGAGTCTCAGGAATGTATTTGGAGATAAAAATTGGACAGATGTGAAGTAGTTTTGCCAATTGTGTGACTGTTACTTAATGATCATTTTCCTCTGACTAACAGGAAGTCCTGGCTTTCTCATGAGTTCTGTGTATTTGAGTCTGCTTCTGGATGTGTGATTATTCTTATAATGTGCTTATTTTCCATTACCAAGTAGTTTTAATTGTTGTAGCTTCGTAATATGTTTTAAAGTTGGCCAGTAATAGTCACACACGTTCCAGTTTCTTTCCTTCTTTCCCCCAAAACTTTCTGAACTCTTTGCCATGATTGTTTTTGCGGACAAATGTTTGTATCATTTTAGGCTAATTTTAATTAAGTGAACATATAACAAGGAGAATGACCAGGGTATATAAGACACACACACACTCTCTCTCTCTCTCTCTCTTTCTCATAAATAAATGTACTCAGGAATGATGTGGTTGGTAGGGTAGGAATTATTTAACTAAAGAACTATAAATAAACTTGACAGGTTGACTGTGTCCCCAGATGTAAGTGGCAGTGGAGGAAGGTGGCTGGCAGCGGTTTTTCTTCTTTTTTAAAATACTGCTTTGAATTGAGAAGAAGGGAGATGGGTTGATGGAAAGTCTGGTTTGCGTCAGAGGCGTTCCAGAGAGGCAAAAACCACTTCATTCTGTGAAATGATAAAACCTGACTATTTAATCCTGTTCTCTCTGAGTAACTAGTCACATTTAAATGAACTTTTTTTTCTGTTGGAGGGAAAATGGCATAAAGCATATTCAAATGCAGTTCCTAAAAGCCACATAAGGAGTTTTTAAGTTCGTATGTAAATGGGAATGGAAGTGCAAAGCAAATTACCCGTCATGATTGAAGCCCTCGCATGTTTAACTGGTTCCATTTGTGCTTGTGCACTGGGCGGCCGCTGTGCACGGCATTCTGTCCCAGCATTCACTCTGGTGAGGTAAATGCACTTAGCACTAACTCCCCCGGGTCTTTTCCAGTGTGTTCACCTCATCATGACTGTTGTGCCTAAAATGAAGAAGAAACCTTGTGAAAGCTTCAACAAGAACTTGAAATTTAACCCTTGCTAGAGTGCATGACCAGAACAAGATACTCAATGAAGTGTTTGAAATTTGAATTTCACATAAAGCCATGAATTTTCACATAAAGCCATTTGTTGTTGTTTTGGGATTGACGGAAGGAGGGTATTTGCTTGTTTTTGCTTCTTTTTTTTTTTTTTGGTATGTGTTTGCAAATTCAAATGCATTTGGGAAGCTAGGGGTAGTGACCTTGGTTGTCATTCTTTAGATGTTGTCCACTCTGTGTCTGTCTGTCTGTCTGAGCCTGAAACTCAAGTTGACTAGGCTGTCTGGCCAGCAAGCCCCAGGAATCTAGTTGTCCCGGCCTCCCCGGTCCTGAAATTACAAGTGTGTGCCATTGTCAACAGCTTACGGCCCTGTGTTCTCAGGATTCGGTTATGCTGTGTCCTGTGCCCCATTCTGTATGGTGGGTGGCGGCGATGGGATTGGCTTGGGTTGAGATAGTCAGATTCACACCCGAGCATAGATTGACCTCAGCATCACTGTATAACCAAGACCAGACGTGGACTCCGCTTCTCCTGTTTCCACCTCCCATGTGCTGAGATGCCAGGCATGTACCAGCACACCCAGCTAAACAAATAGCTTTTCACATTTGCGGTTTTCAAATAGTGCATGATCCAGACTTAGCACAAATGTGTCCCAGATATCACATGGGATATACTTAAATGTTTAAAATGTGTATTTATCTGGAAGTCAGATTTATTAGGTGTTCTGTATTTTACCTGTCCCATCTAGCAATCTGGTTTTTTAGATCAATTAGATTCCTCCAGTTTCAGTGGACTGATTCTTTGACCTAAGACCTCAAGAGAAAATTAAAAAAACAAAAAAGCAAACAAACAAAAAACTTCTTGCTTATGAACAAATTAGAAGCTTGATGGGGGTAGGGAAGGTCATTTGGTTTTGGGGAAATCCGGAGTCCTTATGCCAGGCTTGAAGCATAGGCACCACCTGCACACCTGGCTGTGTGGGTCTGAGGAGCTCCCAACTCTGTATTCTACCAAATCCTATATGATGTCATATCCCATACCCAGAGGTTGAGGAGCTCCCGGCTCTGTGTTCTAACAAAGTCCCATGTGATGCCACATGCCATGCCTAGAGGTGATGCTGAAAGCAATAAGGTGGACCATGGCTCCCCTTCCTGTGGGAAGATGGCATAGCACCAAGGTGGGCCATGACTCCTTTTCTGTGGAAGGAGAGCGTAGCACCAAGGAAGAATAGCATAGAGCTAAGTTGGGCTATGACTCCCCTTCCCATGGGGAGAGACTTTGGTGAGGGTAATGGCTAACCTGAGGGTTTTGCAGCCTGCGGAATGAGACACAGTGACTAACCCAAGGTTCTGATTTTCTCACCACAGGTGCCGGCCAACCTACAACACTGTGACAGGGTTGGGCGCTTCTGGATCACCGAGCATTTCTTTATTAAGGGTGTCCCTTGGCAACTGCTTAATTAAACCCCAAGTTCAGGGGCTTCTCAGCATTCATCTAATTTCTGGAAGACTCTTCTACAAGGTGGTATCTGCTCTTTTGTATTGTAGCACAGTGTGCTTTTTCTGGTTGGGGGGCTGATTTTTTTTTTGCATTTGCACAGTATATACAAAAGAATATTGCATTGTAATGATCCTGAACAGTTAACAGGGGTAGGGGGAAAGACAAACAGTTTTAGCATGAGCAGAAAGGCTTATGGCTGAGAAGGTGTTATTCTCTTCTTTGGGAAATAGCAAAAGGGTGCAATAAACCTGTTGTGTTTTAGTATTTCTAGAAATTAAACATGTTATGTTTACAGAATTGAGCTGCAGGAAGTGCAAGACATGCCAGCTTAAGACAGGAGCAGAAAGTGAATGCATTTCAGAAAATCTAGACACCCCAGAAAGCTCTGACTCACAACTACAACTTGTTTTTTAATGCAAAGACACTAGTCTGATAATATATACTGTACTCCTGAAAACATTTGTGTTACTTACCTTTGCGGGGGGTGGGGGGACAGAGGTCCTACCAATAAATTATCACACTGTTAGTATTAGATTTTGTGTACCCCGGAAGTCATGTCATTAATATAGGCTGATCCACCAAATGAAGAGAGCCCTTGCAATATCACTAGACTTCCACTCTGTGACATTGTGCAAGGGTAGGGAGGAAACTAGCCAGCCATTATCTTCAGACTCACTATAAAATCCGTGAGGAAGTGTCATCTCTCCGGACGGTGTGTCAGCGGTAGCCTTGATGCTTGAGCCACCTGCTTTCTCCAAGCACTGGGTTAGGGGTTGTTGAGCGGCTTGAGGAAGTGGGTGTTAGGCGCCAAGTACAGTCTGTCTTTAGGGGTGAGTACATCTCATCTTTGCCTACAAGTTTTCCTTGGGGCTGGAAGCCCAGGTACCCGGAGAGAAGCATTAAGTCCATCCTCACAGAGCCCGGATGACGTGATGAGACAAGCCCACAACTGGTCTGTATGGGGCAGCAGCACAAGGCAGACGGTGCCCTGCCCACCCCCATGGACCTGTGTGCACCTTCCTCCTCCCACACGGCCGTCTTTTCTCTCAAGAATTCTGCACCTGACCCATGGAGTTTTGAAAGCGATGCCTGAGGAGATCTGGTTTGTTCTCTGCCCTCGGTGAGGAGTTCCAGCCGGACGTGCGGCAGGAATGAAGCGGCTAAACCAGCATGACTTAGCTCTCCAGGCTGTTTTCCTTAGGACTGGGCAAAGGGGAACTATTCATTCTGCCTTAAAAGGATGGCAACTAAGTAAAGACAACATTAGGTGAATGTAGACTGTGGATACACTCCTAGTAGGCTAATGTAGCATAGCGAGAGCGTAAGTAGATGTTTTTCTGTTATGTAAGCAATAATTTTTTCCTGTGTCTTATGGAGTATGGCTAGCAATTATTTATTTCTGTGCTAGACGGTTCTTTGCATGTGGGTTCCCTATAGGTGCAGGCATCTCCTGGCCACTGGAGGCATATTGACCACTTTGTCATTTGGACGAGTTGTTATTGGA